TTTTGCTTTCATGACCTATGTATCATTGGGTTTGGTCTGGCTCTTGCCAGAGTATCTGGTCATCAGGAACTGTGCAGTATTTACATTTTCCCTTATGCCCATTCTGCTCTTTGAACTGACCTCAGTGGACTCGTGTTGTACTTGTCCTTTTGTGCTTGGCTGACTTCACTCAGCATAACACCCTACAACTCTTTCCAAGAGATGAGGTGCTTCATCTTTTCATCACTGTATTTTACTACTTCATTGTGTGTATATACCAGAGTTTTTTAATCCATTTACTTTTGGTGGAAATAAAAGATGTTTCCAGTTCTTTGCTATTGTGAACTGTACAGTGATGAACATTGGAGTATAGTTGTCTAGTTGTGTCCTGTTTCTTATTTCTTCTGGGTATATACCCAGTAGTGGAATTCCTGAGTTGTAAGGTAACTCATTTTCCATCTGTTGTCGGTATCGCCAAATCACTTTCGACAGTGGCTGTACGTATCTACAAGACCACCAGCAGTGAATGAGAGTGCCTGTCTCACCATACCGCCTCCAGCATTTGTTGCTTTCTGTTTTTTTTTTTAATTGGACTATCCTTGTGGGTGTTAGGTGGTATCTTGTGATTGTTTTAATTTGCATTTCCAGATAGCTAATGATCAGAAACATTTTCTCATACGTTTATTCAGGTTTCCTCCTCTGGTAACCTTCTGCCCACCTCCTCAGTGGGCTACTTGTTGTTTTTTTTTTTTGTATTAGTATTATTTCTTGTAAGGTTGCAGTGTTCTGTAGATTTTAGTAATAAGACCTTTTTCTGATGTGTCATTACTAAGTATCTTTTCCCAGTTTGTGGGCTCTCTCATTACTCTCTTGATGAAGTCTTTCAATGCATACAAGTGTTATATCTTTAGTATGTCCCACCCATCGATTTTACCTTCCTCTTGGTATGCATCCTTCATTATTACTGATAGTCCATATATTCCCTGTGCTAAGGTTCTTAGCTTTGTCCCAATTTTTTCATTGATGATCCTGATAGTTTGGGGATTTACCTTAAGTTCTATGATGCCTGAGTTTGCCCTTGTGTATTGGGCGAGTTAAGGGTTTTGTTTCATTCTTCTCAGGTTGGTATTCAGTTTTTCCAGCACCATTGATTAAAAAGGGCATATGCTTCCAATTTGGTATTTTGGGGCCCTAATCAAAGATCAGTTGTCTGTATTCTGCTTTTACTTCTGAATTTTCTATTCTTATACATTGGACTGGGTATCTGTCATAATGCCAGTGCCATGCGGTTTGGACATCTGTGGATGCAATAATAGGATTTAAAGTCAGGTAATGCAAGCCCACCTACTCTAGTTTTCTCCTTGAGGAGTTCTTTGCCAGTTCTGGGCTTCTTCCCTTTCCATATGAAGTTGATAGTCAGAGTTTCAATTTCTTTGAAAAATGATGCTGGTATTTGTATCAGGATTGCATTGAACCTATATTGTGTCTTAGGTAGGCCTGACATCTTTACAATATTGAGTCTACCGTTCCACAAGAAGAGGATATTTTTTGCTTTTGTGAAGTTCCCTTTTGGTTTCTTGTAATAATGTTCTGTGGTTTTCCTCATAAAGGTCTTTTTTTTTTGGTTAGGTATATCCCTAGATATTTCCATTTATGCTTGGCTATTGTGAAGGGTACTACCTTCTTGATCCTATCAGTTGTATATAACAATCCAATTGACTTCTTCTTGTTGATCTTGTATCCTGCCACTCTACCATATTCCTCTATCGCTTCCAGCACCCTTATGGTGGAACCTTTAGGGTTATCAATCTTTAAAATCATATCATCTTCAAATAATGATAATTTCACTTCTTCTTTCCCAAGATGTATACCTTTAATATCCTTCTGTTGCCCTATATTTATTAGGTAGGACCTCTAGGATGATGGTGGGGACCTCCAGAATAAAAGTGGGGACAAGGGGCACCTTGTCTCGTTCCCTTTTTCAGTGGGAATGTTTTCATCTTTTCTCCATTGATTGTAACTCTGGCTGTTGGATTTTCATATATAGCTTTAATTTTATTGAGGTAATTTCCTTCCAGTCCTACCTTCTTGAGTGTCTTAATTAATGGGTGTTGAATGTTGCCAAATGCTTTTCTGCATCTATTGATATCATCATGTGGTTCTTGTCCTTTTTCTTCTCATTGTGGTAGATGATGTTGATGGATTTTCAGATGTTGAACCATCCCTGCATCTCTGGTATGAATCTCACTTGGTCATGATGAATTATTCTTTTTATTTAGTTTTGTATTTTATTGGCCAAGATTTTAAGTATTTTTGGATCTATGTTCATTAGAGATGTAGGCCTGTAGTTCTCTATTCTTGTCAGATCACTGCCTGGTTTTGTTATCAGTATTATAATAACTTCATAGGAAGTGTTTGGGAGTTTACTGTCTGTTTCTATGTTCTGTAAGAGCTTGTGTAGAATTGATGTCAGCTCTTCCCTGAATGCTTGGTAGAATTCTCCTGTGAAGCCAACTGGGCCAGGCTTTCTTTAGTTGGTAGTTCCATGCTAACCTTATCTATTTCTTCTTTTGCTATGGTCTTGTTCAAGTTCTTGACATCTATAAGACATAATCCGTGGAGGCTTTGTTTATCCAGGTGTCTGCCCATGTCTTCCAAGTCATTGTGTTCCTTGGAGTACAGTCCTCCGTAGTACTGTGTAATTAGTCTTTTAATTTCATTAGGGTCCGTTGCAGTTTCCCCTGTTATTTCCTTCTATCTGGATATTGATGTCTGCTCCTTCCTATCTTTTGTTAGTTTGGCCAACAGTTTGTCCATTCTGTAAATCCTTTAGAAGAGCCAGCTATTTACTGAGTGATTTTCTCCATTGTTTTTGTTTTACCACTCATTTATCTCTGCCCTGAATTTTAGAATTTCTTTTCTTTTGCTATTAGAAGGATTATTCCGTTGACTCTGTTCCAACTGCTGAAGCTTTTGTGAGAGGATATCCACCATAAGTCTCTCCTCCTTCTTCATAAGTGCATTTATCACCATCAAGCATCCTCTGATAACGGCCTTTCCTATACCCCATAGATTTTGATATGTTGTTTTCTCATTCTCATTGGTTTCTAGAAACTTCCTAAATTTGTCTAATTTGGGTCAGTACCCACTCCTTTTGAAGAAGTAAGTTATTCATCCTCTAAGTATTTGCCCTTGCTTTTTTAACCTTTCTTTTCTTGATTTCCAGCATTATGGCATAGTAATACCACTGGTTCTTAATCTTATACTACCTCTTCAATATTTGATCATTGACCAGTTCTTATTCGTATAGTGACTGTGTATTCTTTTCATCTTTTTTTTAATGCTTCCTGTATCATTCAATATCTTGCTCCTAGAAGCCTTCAATATAATCCGAGGTTTGATTTTTTTCCCTTTAATTCTTCCAGTTTGAAATAGACAGAGCATGCCTTTCCTTTATGGCTTTCTAATTTGGGTCTTTGCACTTTTTGTTATAGTGCTCAACTTTCTCTTCTTGAGCTGTCCTTTGAAGTTTTCTTTTAGGCTCTCTTTGTAATTGCTTCTATTTGCTTAACTACTTTATGTTCATCAGCAAGTTTCAGCACCTCTTCTGACTTCTGTTTTGGTCTGCCCCCCCCCCTCCCCCAACACACACACATGCACACACATTCCTTTAAATGATCTTTTGCTTTCTTCATGTATGATGTTTTTGATATCCCACAGCTTGTCTATTCTTCTGTCCTTAGTGTTCAGTGTGTCATCTCCATTGTTAAGAGGTTCTCTGATGTTAGGAGGGATATATTCAAGGCTGTATTTAGGCCTTGGATTTAGGACTTGTTTTAGTTTTCTTCAACTTCAACCTAAATATTCCATAGTTAGCCTTTGACCTTGTTTTGGCTGATGATATTAAGCTTCTCCATCATCTCTTCCCACAAATATACTCAATTTGATTCCTATATATTCCATCTGGTGACATCCATGTGTATAGGCATTGTGTATGTTGTTGGAAAAATATATTTTCAATGAAGAAATTATCCTCAAAATATTCTGTCTTGCAATATCTAGTTTTGTTTCTTTAAAGAAATCATTTTATTGAGGGCTCATACAGCTATTATCACAATCCATACATCCATCCTTTGTATCAAGCACATTTGTATATTTGTTGCCATCATCACTCATAAAACAATTTCTTTCTACTTGAACCCTTGGTGTCAGCTCCTCATTTTTTCCCTTTCTCCCCCACACTCCTTCCCTCATGAACCCTTGATAATTTATAAATTGTTATTATTTTTTCATGTCTTTCACTGACCAATTTCTCCCTTCACCCACTTTTCTGTTGCCTGTACCCTTGGGAGGAGATTATATGTAGATCATTGTGATTGGTTTCCCCCCTCTCCCCCCACCTTCCACTTACCTTCCTGGTATTGCTACTCTCCTTATTTGTCCAGGGGGCCTTATCAGTTGTGGATTCCCTGTGTTTGGAGCTCTCATCTGTACCCGTGTACATGCTCTAGTCTAGCCATATTTGTAAGGTAGAAATGGGGTCATGATGGTGGGTGGGAGGAAACGTTAAAGAACTAAAGCAAAGTTTTATGTTTCATCAGTGCTATACTGCACCCTAACTGGCTTCTGTCTTCCTGTGACCCTTCTGTAAGGGGATGTCCAATTGTCTACAGCAAGGTCATGTTTTCCAACTAGTGTTCCTTCTCCTTAGTGATGCCTTAATCCTATACCATCTTTATAATTGGTGCTTTGTTTGAGCCCATTGTAGCTGCTGTCTCAGTTCACTCCATTGAGGATCTTACTGGTTCTTGACGACCCTCTGCTTTACTAAACATGATGCCCTTCTGCAGGCATGAGTCCTTCCTAATGATGCGCCCGAAGCATATGAGACCGACTTTCACTCTTCTTACTTCCAAGGAGCATTCAGGGTTTTCTTCATCTAATACAATTTTCTTTTTTGTTCTTTTGGGTTTGATAAAGAAAGACTTTTGTCCACAAAGTGATGGCTTTCTTTCTTTTTTTAATTTATGGAATGTTTCACAAATTTGCATGTCATCCTTGCACAGGGGCCATGCTAATCTCTGTATCATTCCAATTTTAGTACATGTGCTGCCGAAGCAAGCATGCGATGGCTTTCTTTTTAACATTTTAAAGTAAAATTTTGCAGTAGATTTGCCAAATGCATCATTTGATTTCCTGACCTCTGCTTCTATAGGAATTGATTAGAGATCCAAGTAAAATAAAATTAGTCATCACTTCAATCTTTGCTCTTTTTTAGCATGATTTAGTTTATTGGTCCAGTTGTGAGGATGTTGGTCTTGACATTGAGTTGTGATCCATAGGGAAGGCTGCAAGCCCTGATTTTCATCAGTAAGTATTTCAAGTTCTTCTCATTTTCAGCAAGTGAGGTTTTTCATCTGGATACTTCAGGTGAACAAGCCTTCTTTCACTCTGGATGCAGCATTCTTCTACATGTAATCCAGTTTCTCTGATTATTTGCTTATTATACAGAGTGCATAAGTATGGTAAAAGGATACAACCTTGGCACACACCTTTCTAGCCTTGAAAGTACACAGCACCCCCTTGTTCTGTCTCCCACAACTGCTTCCCGTTCTATGAACAGATTCGACATAAGCACTGCTAAATGTTCCATTCTTCACAATGTTAACTCTAACTTGCTACTGTCCACATGGTCAGGAAGCCAAAGGAACATCTTTCTAGTAGTCTCTATTTTCAGCCATGATTCATTTGATATCAGCAGTGGTATTCTTTGTCCCATATCCTCTTCTGAGTCCTGCTTGAATTTTGGGCAGTTCTCTGTTGATGTTCTGCAACAACTTAAAAATTATCTTCAGCAAAATTTTGCTTATATGTGATATTAATGATAGTGTTTGATAATTGCTATACTCTATTGTGCTACTTTTCTTTGGAATGGGCATAAATATGAACTTCTTTCTGCCAGTTGGCCAGGTAGCTGTTTCCAAATTTGTTTTCATAGATGAGTGAGCATTTCCAAGGTGCCATCTATTTGTTTCCGCATTTTAATTACTATTCAATCAATTCTCAGGGCCTTTAATGACTCAGCTTTATTGGCTTTTATTTCACACATCATACAATTCAGTAGTTCAATCATATTAGAAAAGAGTTTTACAATCATCTCCACTATCAATTTTAGAGCATTTAATTCTTTCTTGTACTCATTGTCGTCCTCCAATACCTCCCTCCAGCCTCCCCCACTATGGCCCCCAAGAAGCCATCCATGCAGTTACTGTTTCTATAGCTCCACCCATCCTGGATTCGACATGCAGAAAAACATAGAAAAAAATACAGAAAAACCAAACAACACCAAAATACCGCACTGCAGTTTACATTATACCAAGGGTATTCACACCCCTGGTCTGTGAGGGGAATTCATCAGAGGCCTAATTCATGTGTGGACCCTGCCAATGACTTTTTGCTCCCACTGTTATCCATTGCCTTGGGCAAACTGGGTGTTCATAATATAAGCGCTGATACTATTCCCTCCTTTGTGTTTTATCTTTCACAATCCTTGGATCACTTTGACTTCTTTATTCAATACCTTCTGTTCATCTTCCTTCATAAAATGGTCAATGGATTCTTTTTTTGAATAAGTGACTGTGTATTCCTTCCATTTGCTTTAGCTATTCTATATGTAAGAGTAAGTTTTAGAATCTCTTCTGACATCATATTGGTCTCTCTTTTTAAAAAAAAAATACAGTTTTGCTTTCTTTGCATATGGTTTTCTTGATGTCATCCTAAAACTTGTCTAGTCTTCCATTATTGCTTGTCAAACCTGTTCTTCAGATAGTCTCTAAATGTAAGTGAAATCATAGTTTGGATTCTGTGGACTTGTTTTAGTTTTCTTCAGCTTCAACTTGAACTCTCCATAAGGTTTTCAGCGGCTTCTTCCTCTGAAGTGGGGGCTAAGACCTTCATTGTCGCCTGTTGTTGGTTTGGAAGCTCTGCTGACACCTGGCCACTCTGGGCGACCCTGCTGGCATTTGAAATACTAGTGACATAGCTTCCAGCGTCACAGTAACACACGAACCACCACAGTACACCAAACCGACAGGTTCAATTTGAACTTGTATTGGAGCAATTGTTGTTCTATCTTAAAGTCAGCCCCTGACCTTGTTTTGGCTGACAATACTGAGCAAACCTACTGTCTCTTTCCCCAGATACAATCAGTTTGAACCTACATATTGCATCTGATGATGGCCACATATAAAATTTAAACCCACTGCCATATATAGTCATCACTTACATTGTTTGAAAAAAAGGTATTTGTAATGAATTAGCGATCTTCCAAATTCTATCATGCAATCTCCAGCTTGTTTTCTATCACCAAGGCCATTTTTTCCAACTGTTGTTATTTTTTTGTTTCTGACTTTTCCATTTTTAAAAATACTTATACTGTGGTAACTATTCACATTTACCATAGTAATATTAATTTAAAAAAAAATCAACAGCATCAAAGTAAAATCATGGAGGATTTTAGCACAGGAAGAACAGCAGGAGAATGGGATGTGAATTACAAGTGTTTTATTTCTTTGTTAAGTGAGTGAATGCTTACACATTCTGAATATTGATAGAAAAATAATTGTATGTACTTCCTGTATACAATTATATAAATGTGACAATATTTACAAGTAGTCAGTATAACAAAAAATTGGGAGAAAATTTTTTTATCATTACAAGCAAAGGCAGAAAAAGGAGCAGACTTCCTATAAGAAATATGATCATTATAAAATAAAATATAAGTCCAATATGTCAGAAATAACAAAAAAGGACTAGAGGTTAAATTCCATTATGAAAAGAAAAACTCTTGGATTACATAAAAATTGAAACTCTAGCTCTATGCTATTTACAGTCCATGAAACAAAATGGAAAATGAAGGCATTGAAAATATACCTATAAATGCTAATGACAAGAAGGAAGATATACCCAGTGTTAATATCAGACAAAATTGAATCAAGGTGAAAAGTATTCCATAGGGCAAAGAAGATACTGTATGTAGATAAAATACATAATCCAAACGAAAATGAATAGGGCACACTTATCAACATATTTTGGGAATATATAAGTCAAAACTAAAAGACATTAGTGAAGTATCTATAGATTGTAGTATTCTATAATCTATACCTGAAGTTCCTATACCTATAGTATTCTAGATTCTGGATTTGTCAAATTTTCTATTATTTAATGATTCCTTATAGAAATTATGAGATCAAGTGACCAAAGAAACAGATATGGAATAGAGGATTTTACTAACAACTAGCAGATAAAATATGTTTATGAATATATATAAGCAGTTACATCACACATTTAAAAATACAAATTCTTTACAAATGCTAATTCAGTTACCACAAAATTGACTATGATCATGGCCACAATGACACTCGTAAATTCAACACAAAAATTCTAGGAGCCATAGTATCCGGCCAAAATGCAATCAAATTACAAGTGAGCAGTAAGACAGATTCTAGAAGTGTATTCACTTAAAGATGTTTTTTTAAATTACCTTTTAAACTGACAATTAGAACAACCCTAAAGTGAACAATTCATTCAGAATAAAGACATTAAACAATGAAAGCCAAATTAATGGAAACCCACTGCCACGGAGTCAGTTCTCCCTCACAGTGCCCTAAAGACAGTGTCCAAGGTTATAAATCATCATGGAACCCCCAAGCCTCATCTTTCTCCTGAAGAGTGACTCGTGAGTTTGAACAGTCAGCTTTGTGGTACAGCTTACCATCCAATGTTTACCCAACAGCACTTTCAGGGTTCTTAAAAATGAAAGCATATACATTAAAATCTATAGGATATGGCTGAAAAAGATATTTTAAAAATGTAGTCTTAAAAGTATTAGTACAAACAAATAGAAAGAAAATAACTAAATATTTTTACTAAGCACTCTGGAATTATAACCATAAAATAAATGCAAATAAATAGAAGGAGGTGAAAAATTCAAAGAATAATTAAGTACAAAAAGTTTAAGAAAGAAATTTTAAAATTAAGAAAAAGCTCCCTTCTTTATATTTAATCAAAAGTTAGTTGTTTTAAAATTCAAATAGATAAACTTTTGACTTAGCTCCATTGATTATGATGTCGTCCATTGATGCAGTGAATTTTTGAGCGACCTGGAGGAGAAGTACTGGATGTTGCTGGCATTGATGACTTTCTTGTGAGGCCACACTTCCCCTGCCCCACATCCTCTGCATATGTCCCTCCCCCAGTACATTTTATTTATTTCCCCTAGGTTTGCTTTACCTCCTCTGGTACAGATTCAGAAAAGGCAGATGGCTGGTTTTATTTGGAGTTGGAGTTTTCCCAGGTAAATATGGACAGAGAGAGAGAGAGGGAGAGAGAGAGAGAGAGAGAGGAAGGAAATGGGACTTTATCAAGGAAGGCTTATAATCATGCACTATAGCATTTAGCTGTATAAGAAATAAAGGTAGTCAGAAGCTGACCTAAGAAAGTTCTGAAGAGACTGGAAAATTGCTTTTAGTGGGAGTTCCCTTCTTTTCTTTGTGCTGTGGAGTGGTTATGTGTTGGACTACGAACCCCAATGTCAGCAATTCTAAGCCACCACAAGGCTTTCTCTCTGACTCTCTGAAACCCACAGGGGCAGCTCTACCCTGTTGTAGAGTCACTATGAGTTGGAATTGACAAATCAATGGCAGTGACTTGCGTATGGTAACAGAGGGAGCCCTGCTGGTGTAGTGGGGTACCCCCAGAGCGGATAACCAAAGACCTGCGGTTCAAACACACCAGCCCCTCTGCAGGAGAAACATGAGGCTGTCTACCCCTGTGATTACAGATTTAAAGACTCAGAAACCCAAAGGGACAGTTGCGGACAGTTCTACCCTGCTCTGTGAGTTCGAATCAACTCAATAGCACTGGGTCTTCGTTGTAACAGAAACGACACATGGGTGGCTATAAAGAAAGGAACTTATTTCTGACAGTTCAGGAGACTGGAAGTTCAAATGTGGCAGGTGGCGCTAGAGGGAGGTGCTCTCTTTGTATTTTCAGCTTCTTGTAGTAGGCAACCTTTTAGGTTCATCTGAGTTGGTTGTCATTAGAGAGAGTTTGTCTCCTCTTACC